GGTCAAATTAATAATGACAGTGAAAACATTGAAGACCAAAAATGGTACGAACATTTCAGACAATTAAATGCAATAAATAATAACTGATGAACGCACTTTAAACGAAGAGATTGCTAAGGCTTGAAAATGAAATTAAACCTACTACTGAGCTAGACCAAAATATTTCACAGTTAGAAATACAAACTGCAATTAGCAACTTGAAAAATAAAAAATCTCCAGACATTGATAATATTAGAAATGAGATGATTAAAACAGGGAGAAATGTGCTCATCAAACCTCTACAAAAAATTTTCAATCTCATCCTAACGAGTGGCCATTTCCCTAGCTCCTGGATGTTTGGGCATTATCACTCCAATATTTAAAAAAGGGGAAAAATCTGATCCAGGCAACTACAGAGGGATAACTCTTAGCAAGCTCTTCACAGCCGTATTGAAACAAAGGTTGACCAAACATGTAAAAAGCAATAATATCATAATTAAAGAGCAAATTGGTTTTCTTCCAAAATTCAGCACAGCGGACCATATCTTTGTTCTCAAACAGCTAATAACAAAATATCTTAATAAAGGAAACTATTTATTTGCATGTTTCATCGACTTTAAGAAACTTTATATAAACTTCACAAAAACAAAATCTCAGGAAAATTTCACAACATAATTAAATCTATTTATCAGAATGCCACTGGCTGTGTTAAACTAAAAGGTGGTTTGACTGCTAGCTTTCCAGTTCAAAGGGGTACCAGACAGGGAGATGGTTTAAGCCCACTCCTTTTCAATCTTTTCATTAATGATATCAAATGCCCGATAGAATCATCCAATAATGAACCCCCTTTACTTGTAAACAATCATTTGTCATGTTTGATGTATGCGGATGACCTCCTCCTATTGTGATAGGTATCTTTGATGGTTAAAAACCTTTCACTTAGGTAACCGGGATTCGGTCGTTTCCACGCTAGGCTGACAAAAGACACACACAAGCTTCGTTCATGTTCCCAAAAAACGATTCTCTGCCAAGTCCCTGGTTTTCACCCGAGACAGCATTAAATCAATCTTTATTTCTTGTCACCCCTTAACCAATTACAATCAGTATAAGAGACTCCAAGGCCTTGCCTTCCAACAAACAACCAATCACATGAAAGTTTTACACATCATAATCAATTAATTACTCGTCAAGCTGTCTAGAGAAAACATTTCTATACATTGTCAACGCTAACTAATATTGATGGGGTAATAGTCTCGCACTAACATTCCACAAAGATACCACCTTAGTTAAAATCGCAAACAACATTGGTTTAGAATTACAGCTACTGTCTTGTATCTTAAAAACTGCAGAGTCATAAGATGTTTTTGGTTGATTTCGACCAGTTCGCCATCTGGTCTTGTCATTAACTTTTATCAGTATATGTCATGACAACCACTGTCAAACTGACTATCACAATCTAAAAATGGTCTGCAAAATGCAATACGCACAGTGGAAACAT